TCCTAAGAAACAAGAGTCTTGCTTTGTCACCCAAGAGGAATGCAGTGGCATGATCTGAGCTCATGGCAACTTCTGCCTCCCAGGTTCAGACGGTTCTAGTGCTTTGGCCTCGGAAGTAGCTGGCACTACAGGCATGAGCCAATACACCCCGCTATTTTTTTCCTATTTTTAGTAGAGATGAGGTTTCACCATGTTGACCAGGCTGGTCTCGAACTCCTGGCCTCAAGTGCCTTGGCCTCCCAAAGTGCTGGGATTCCAGGCGTGAGCTACCATGCCCAACCCAAAAGACAGCTGTTAAGTTGTTTTTGACAACTGATAAATTATGTTCCGTACTAAAAGGTAATAAAATAATTTATGTATTTACTAAGTATTTATTCAATGCTTGCAACGCGGTATGCACAGTTCTAGGACTTGGAAATCTGGAAGTGAACCAAATAGTTGAGGCCCCTGCCTTTATGTGCTTATATTCTTTGTATAATAAATACAAACGTATATGCAATGTCAAGAGTATAAATACTCTGGAGGAAAATAAAGCAGTAAGAAGTAGAGAAAGCACAGGATGTATTAGCTATTTTATATAATATTATCAGAGAAGCTCTCTTTGATAAGCTCTTTGATTAGATAAAAAGGAGTTAGAATGGAGTAAAAAGAATTGGATTAGGTATCTTCCTGTTATTTTATTGCACTGCTTTCTTCTCTGTCATACTTGTTTTGTAGAAATCACTAAATTTAACTAATTCAGTACATGTAAAACAACATCATAGTTCCTTTTCTCTGAAAATGATCAAACTTCTGTTGTAACAAATGTTATTAAATAGCCCATTTTAATTTGCTGATACTGCATCTTATGTTACTTTAATTTTAAAATGCACAACTTGATATTCTGATACATGTATATGTCTTAGTCCATTTTCTGTTGCTTATAACAGAATACCTGAAACTGAGTAATTTGTATATAAATTATTTCTTTTTTTTTTTTTTATGAGAGGGAGTTTCGCTCTTGTTACCCAGGCTGTAACGACGCGATCTCGGCTGATGCAATGGTGCAATGATCTCGGTGCAATGGCGCGATCTCGGCTCACCGCAACCTCTGCCTCCTGGGTTCAGGCAATTCTCCTGCCTCAGCCTCCTGAGTAGCTGGGATTACAGGCACGTGCCACCATGCCCAGCTAATTTTTTGTATTTTTGGTAGAGACGGGGTTTCACCATGTTGACCAGGATGGTCTCAATCTCTTGACCTCGTGATCCACCCGCCTCGGCCTCCCAAAGTGCTGGGATTACAGGCTTGAGCCACCGCGCCCGGCCGTTTTTTTTTTTTTTTTTTTTTTGAGACGGAGTTTCGCTCTTGTTACCCAGGCTGGAGTGCAATGGCGCGATCTCGGCTCACCGCAACCTCCGCCTCCTGGGTTCAAGCAATTCTCCTGCCTCAGCCTCCTGAGTAGCTGGGATTACAGGCACGTGCCACCATGCCCAGCTAATTTTTTGCATCTTTAGTAGAGACGGGGTTTCACCATGTTGACCAGGATGGTCTCGATCTCTTGACCTCGTGATCCACCCGCCTCAGCCTCCCAAAGTGCTGGGATTACAGGCTTGAGCCACCGCGCCCGGCTATAAATTACTTCTTACAGTATTGAATGCTGAGAAGTGCAAGGTTAAGAGGTCACATCTGGTAATGGCCTTCTTGATGGTGGCAACTCTCTGCAGATTCCCCAAGTTGTGTAGGACATCATGGGACAAGAAAGCCGAGAACTCTGTTTTATAAAGCTGCCCGTTCTACTCCCATGATTACCCATTAATGTATTCATTCACATTCCAGCTCTCAGGCCCGATTATCTCTCAAAGGCCCAACCTCTCAGTATTTCCACATTGGAGAGTTTCAATGGAAGTGTTAGAGGGTACAAACATTCATTCCAAAGCATGATACATTGTATAATAATCACAATCAAGCTAATTAACATAGCCACCACCTTTCAGATTTACCATTTTGTTTCTTTCTTTTTTGAGATAGAGTCTCCGTCTGTCACCAGGTTGGAGTGCAGTGGTGCCTTCTTGGATCACTGCAACCTCTGCCTCCCAGGGTCAAGCGATTCTCCTGTCTCAGCATCCCCAGTAGCTGGGATTACAGGCACGTACCACCTCGCCCGGCTAAGTTCTGTATTTTTAGTTGACTAGGTTTCATTAGTTGGCCAGGCTGGTCTTGAACTCCTGACCTCAGATGATCCTCCCTTCTCCGATTCACAAAGTGCTGGGATGACAGGCGGTAGCCACCACACCTGGGCCCATTTTCTTTCTTGTGTGTGTGTGTGAGAACACAAGATCTACCCTCTTAGCAAATTTCAAGCATACAAAGTGATTTTCCTAACTATAGTTACATCGCTGTGCTTTAGCTTTCTAGAACTTACCTGTCTCACACAACGGCAAGTCTGTGCCCTTTGACGAACATCTCCCCAGATCCGGCTTCCCCAGGCCCTGGCCACCGCCGTTGTACTCGCTGCTGACTTGCTCGCTTGCTGCTGCACTCAATGACAACTGCGACCAAAACTCATCACTTCCGTAGCTACCCCATGAAGCACAAAGGAGCCGAAAATAATCAATATGTTTATTAATATATCATGCTGAATTTAGGCATCATACTTGCTTCTGAAGTACTTACATTTTGGAATCCTTAAAAAATCTGTCCAGTGAATTCTGTGCTTGATCTAGTCCATCTATCATGTATTAAAATCAAATTGTAACATGATGGTTCAGCTCATAATCTTTATTTTGTAAAACAATTTGAGATACCGAGGTAAAATTCTACTTAAAAAGCAACATAACACAATGAATTTCCAAAATAGCTTAAAAAAATTAAAAGGTGCGGAAAACGATAGGCAGATCACATACCTTAACTGGGAAAGTCTTTATGAAGAATGACCTCGATACTTCGGGGGTGCGTGTCTTTGCGACTCACGGACACCCTTTCATCGAGCAATCAGACCGTCCATTTGCACGTCGGAAGAGAACGGTCAGAGGCGGAAGTCGTGGTTTTGTACTTTGGTAGCCTGCGTTTGACACTCGGTTGACCGTGAGGAATCAGAAACGGTTCGGCGTGTGGTCACCGGCGTCCAGCGCTCCGGACACAGCCCCGGCCCTCCGGCCGCGCAGGCCGCCCCCCGGCCCTCCGCCGGGACGCACGAGGCCGTTTCTGCCGTCACCGAGCCGCCCGGCGGCCCCGCCAGCCGCGCCCGCGCGTGTTCTGGGCCGCGGTGACGCGCCGGCCTCGCTCCGTCGGCGAGGCTGCCAGCCCCGCGCACTCACACCGGGGCCGGCCGGCGGCCCGACTGTCAGAGGCGGATCTGTCCGGCGCCTGCTCCATCCGCACGGACCTGTCCGACAGGACGCCGGGAGCCTCGCGCTCAGGCGGCCGCCCCTCCGTCTGCGCAGCCCGCGGGCCGCCGGCCTCACGCCCCGCGCCCTCGCGCCCGGGGGCCTCTAGGCGCGTCCGCACGCACAGGGGAAGCCGGAGGCGGCCGGGTGAGCCTCGCCGCGCGCGGGACGCGCTGCGGGGGACGCGCTGGGCTGCGTCGGGGTGGCCGGCGGCGGCGCGGGCGGGGCCGGAGGGCGGGACCGGCGGCGGCCCGGGGGCGGGGCCGAGGCGGAGGGCGGGGCTGGCGGTGGCCCGGGGCGGGGCCGAGGCGGGGGGCGGGGCCGAGGCGGGGGCGGGGCCGAGGCGGAGGGCGGGGCCGGCGGCGGCCCGGGGGCGGGGCCGAGGCGGGGGGCGGGGCCGAGGCGGGGGGTGGGGCCGAGGCGGGGGCGGGGCCGGCGGCGGCGGAGGGCGGGCCCCGGGCCGCGGTGTGCGGCCCCCGGCGCGCCGCGGCTCCGGCATCTGGCCATGCTCCTGCGCCGCGCGGCGCTGGCGGGGACGCGGCTGGTTCGGAGCCGGGCTGGCGGGCCTGACGGGGCGGCGGGAGCGGCGGGCTGCGGGTACGGGCCCGGGGCGGGGAGGCGGCGGGCGAGGCGGGCCAGCGCGCGGGCCCGGGCCGGAGACGGGGGGGCGCCCTCGGCGGCGGTGCGGCCTCGGGAGCCGGGGACTCGCGGCGATCGCCGGGCCGTCCCCCTGTGAACTGCTGGGTGGAATCCGGACGCGCTCGGCCCTGGAATCCACTTAGAACGCCGGTGTGTCAGATACTGCGCGGACGCAGGGGGAGCCCGGGCTTCCCGCGTCGTTTCCTTGTTTGCGGAACTCGGCCACCCTGCCGGAAGCCCCGGCGGCGGTCCCGCTGCGCGGCGGCGCGTGAGGACTCGGCTGCGGCGGGGGGCGGGGCGCGGGGGGCGCGGCGCGGAGGGCGGCGCGGGCGGGGCGTGGAGGGCGGAGGGGGCGGGGCGCGGAGGGCGGAGCGGGCGGGGCGCGGAGGGCGGAGCGGGCGGGGCGCGGAGGGCGGAGCGGGCGGGGCGCGGAGGGCGGAGGGGGCGGGGCGCGGAGGGCGGAGGGGGCGGGGCGCGGGGGGCGGAGGGGGCGGGGCGCGGAGGGCGGAGCGGGCGGGGCGCGGAGGGCGGAGGGGGCGGGGCGCGGGGGGCGGAGGGGGCGGGGCGCGGGGGGCGGAGCGGGCGGGGCGCGGAGGGCGGAGGGGGCGGGGCGCGGGGGGCGGAGCGGGCGGGGCGCGGAGGGCGGAGCGGGCGGGGCGCGGAGGGCGGAGGGGGCGGGGCGCGGAGGGCGGAGGGGGCGGGGCGCGGGGGGCGGAGGGGGCGGGGCGCGGAGGGCGGAGGGGGCGGGGCGCGGGGGGCGGAGGGGGCGGGGCGCGGGGGGCGGAGCGGGCGGGGCGCGGGGGGCGAAGGGGGCGGGGCGCGGAGGGCGGAGCGCGCGGGGGCGCTGCTGAGGTCCGGACGCGCCCTGCTTTGGACTGTCCGCGGGCTCGGGACCCGCGCTGTGCCGCCCACGCCCGCGCGAGCCCCGACGGCCCTGCCGCAGTCTGTCTCCCTGTCTACTCGATGTGGAAACTACCAGCTTTGCAAGGTGGGCCCTGCCGACCCGGCTGGAGAGCCCTGCTGAAGGCGGCAACCGCAGGATGAGCGTGTGGCGGCTCCCAGGCCCCGCGGGGCGCGCTCTCTGCGACCCCGGGGGGAGCCCTCGCCTGCTGAGCGCGTGGGGCCCTTGCTGACTGCGGCGGGCCTGGGTCTCCATCCGTGCGGAGACGAGACGCTGGTGTGCACGCGCTTCCTCCGTGCCTGTTTTCATTACCAAGGTCAAGTAGAAGCGGAGGGGAAAGCGTGCCTTCCAGAGCCTTTGAACCGGCGGGGAAGGGTGTAGTGTTTGGTAGTGCGCCTCCCGCCCCCTCTCACGACCCGAGGAAACATGCCTTGTATTCTGGTGGAGCTCCTGCTCCAGGAGTAAATGCTCTAGTGGATGGTGCGGATATGACATTTCAAGTGCTGGACCTGAGATGAAAAGGACTTGTTTTCTTAGTTGCTACACCAAATACAGCTTGCTGATTTATTCCACCACTGCTCCTCCTTGGGTCTAGTCCGGCGCTGCCTCACCTTTTCTGATTTAGGCCTCAGGAACTCAGCTTCCTTGTATCTTAAAAGCTTCACGCTCCTCTCCGGTTGGCTGCTGTCTCCTAGCTCGCTCTCCTAACCCTGTCCTGAGTTAAGCACACAGGACTTTTTTTTTGCGGGGGGCGCGGGGGTGGGGTAATGTGCTTTAAAGGATTCCTTGCTAATCTGTTGGGAAGCAAGCAGTAATAGACTGTAAACATTGTGTAGGTTATAATGTTTACTTGCTGTCCCTCTTCTTTGCTTTAACCGAACACACTGATGTTCGCTGTAGCCTCCTCACTCTAAGGGTGCAGATATCGTAATAGTTCCCCCTTACCCGTGGTGGACACGCTCCAAGACCTCAGTGGATGCCTAAAACCTCGGATAGTACTGAACCCTGTACATGCCATTTTGCCTATACATGCATGCCTATGATGAAGTTTAATTTATAAATTAGGCAAAGTTAGAGCTTAGCAACAATAATGAAAGAACGATCATTTAAATAACAAAATGTTCTTTCAAGGAATTCCTTGCTGAATCTTCTCATAGGCCCAGTGCTTTTTGGCATAACACATTGCTGTCTGTTGGAACACGTTTTCTGTATTTGTCTCCACAAATTTAATACCTTTTCTGTCTCAACTAAGCACTTAGACACACTGGCTGTAACTTGCAGTTTGAGGTGTGACATCAAAACTACCATGAATTTCTTTTTACTTCGTTACAATTGCGCTGATCGAAGATCCATCTTACCATAGATATTAGCAAGCTGAGCATGTGATTAGCTTTTACTGAAGTGGAGAACTTACCTTTTCACTGAAAGGAAGCACTTTAGGGCTTCTTTTTGGTATAACTGAATTGCCAGCATCACTGCTATAGTGGTTTGAGGCCATTATTTATTTATTTTTGACACGGACTTTCAGTCTTCCTGGGGCCATTATTAAGTAAAATAAGGGTTATTTGAACACAAGCATCCCCACTGCTGTGGCAGTCAATCTGGTCACCAAGACAGCTGCTAACTAAAGGGTGGGGAGCTTATACAGTCCATATGCTGGACAATGGGAGGGTTCGCACCCTGGCTGGGAGGAAGCTAGATGGCTCAATATTTTATCATGAGACTTAGAACTTAAAACTTATGAACTGTTTTCTTCTGGAATTTTCCATGTAATATTTTTGGACCACAGTTGACCATGGATAACTGAATCGGTGGATAAGGGTGGATACTGCGTAGGGCAGCTGTTCATTATCTAAGGATGCGATGTACTGGAAAAAGCTATTTAGAGTGGATTCACTTAAAACAAGACTAGTATTTAGGCCAGCCACAGTGGCTCACTTCAGTAATCCCAGCACTTTGGGAGGCTGACATAAGTGGATCATCTGAGGTTAGGAGTTCGAGACCAACTTGGCCAGCATGGTGAAATCCCATGTCTACTAAAAATACAAAAAATTAGTCGGGTGTGCTGGTATACGCCTATAGTCCCAGCTTCTCGGGAGTCTGGGGCAGGAGAAATGTTTGAACCCGGGAAGTGGAGGTTGCAGTGAGCTGAGATTATGCCACTGCACTCCAGGCTGGGTGACGGAGCAAGACTCCATCTCAAAAAAAAAAAAAAAAAAAAAAAACAAAAAACTAATAGTTCATGCTCTCCAATTTAAAAAGTTTTGCTTGGGACCTTTGCAAATATTAAACATTATAAAAAGTAGCTTACTTTTATATTTAAGAACATTTAAATTTTAAATGCACCCCCAATGAATGCAGTAGTGATTTGAAGGCAGAATATTTGAGTTTTATAACATAATCATAAGGATAATAGTTATTTAAATATTTGAAGTTTCAAAAATTCTACTCTCATTCTTCAGATATTTGAGTAATTCGTTTTTGAAGTATCTATTATATCTCATAATCTTTTTGTAAAATTTGTAATTTTACCTGCATTGAATCATGGTCTTTGATACTGTTCCAACAGTGCAATGGGGTCTGGTTGACCAAGAAAGATGAGTGAATGGAGAAGGAGAGGTTCCAACAATAAACAGATTTGATGATGATAAACTGGTTGAGTTTTTTTTTAAGTGATTATTTTTCCTGACAATGAATGCTTCCTTTTAAGTTCCTTTTACAAGTTCCCAACAGCTAGTTTTCAGATAATAAATACTGAGATAATGAGAGGTCCTGTATTCAGGAAATAGTAATATCAAGCACTGTTGCGCATTTACCGTGTGGAATGCACTGTTCTGCTTTCTGCTTATGAATTCATTTAATCTGCACAAAAATCCTTTGATAGGTGCAAGTGATTATTGTTTCTGCTTTGCAGACTTGGAAGTTTGGAGTTATGGCCATTGTGGTTGAGCTACCCTAGCTTCCTTAAAAATCTTTGCAGGTTCCCTGCTTCACGTAGTGTTCATAGAGTTTGGGCATGTTTTATTAAAAAGGTAGAAACTATAATTTTAACCTCAGGTCATAGGGTGTAGGACGGAATATTTGAAATTTGCTGGTCATAGATAACAATGTGTCAAGCTTTAAACACAGTAAATATGAGTTTATCAAATAATTAAGGGCATTGGGAAGCTAGTTAGATCAGCACACAGGTCTTTTTGGTTTTAGAGAAACAAATACTTTGTAAATTGACATTTTGTAGTGATAAGTAAATTTTTTTTTTCTATTTTGTAAGTTTGGCTATATTTGTGTATAAGATTTTTTCAAATAGAACTCGTGATAAATTATCTTTAATGCTTAATAAACTACATTGTCCTTTTAAATTCCTTTTAGGATGGAGGGCAACACATCCTCGTCTTTGGGGAATTCAGCAGCGGCACCTGTGAACCAGATCCAAGTGAGTGATGTGGGAGATGATGGAAAACTTTTCTCTGTGGAAGAATAATTGTTCCTTACATATTTAATATGCTTATTCAATATCCAAGCTTGAGATAGTTCAGCAAATGAATTAGGAAATTAGTATTTATTTTATTTTATTTTATTTTTTTGAGACGGAGTTTCGCTCTTGTTACCCAGGCTGGAGTGCAATGGCGCGATCTCGGCTCACCGCAACCTCCGCCTCCTGGGTTCAGGCAATTCTCCTGCCTCAGCCTCCTGAGTAGCTCGGATTACAGGCACGCACCACCATGCCCAGCTAATTTTTTGTATTTTTAGTAGAGACGGGGTTTCACCATGTTGACCAGGATGGTCTCGATCTCTCGACCTCGTGATCCATCCGCCTCGGCCTCCCAAAGTGCTGGGATGACAGGCTTGAGCCACCGCACCCGGCCTAGTATTTATTTTAAAATCTGCTGTGAAAATTATGCCTGTGACTAAGAAGTCCTAGATCATTTTGGTTTATTCTTAGTGAAGTCCTCACACCCTCTAAGTTGGATAATGCGGTTGGCTGCTCGTTTTCATCATACCCACCTGAGGTCCAGTGCTGATACCAGTCCAGCTGCCCTTAGCTCGGGATCCTATTCGATTTGGGCCTGGGTTAGCAGTTTTCTTCGTTAGTGCAGAACCTAGTTAGTATCCAGTAGTTATTTTATAAACCATCCTCTCGGGGATGCTGTATACTCTTCTTTTCCTCTTTCTTTGACTGAGAACCTTTGTTAATTCTGCCTTAGAAAATCTCTGACATGCATGTTTTTCTTCCCTTGCAGACTATAAGACATACCCATTTTTTCCTCTCTTGCTTACCACCCACTACTACCACAAACAAAAAATCTCTGCCTTTAGTTGATTTGTTTAAACTCCTAGCTGTTGACTATAACATTAATGCTCAAACCCTATTTTGAAGGAATTGCTTTATTTTTTTTTTTTTTTGAGGCGGATCTCGCTCTGTCGTCCATGCGGGCATGCAGTGGCACAATCTCAGCTCACTGCAACCTCCGCCTCCTGGGTTCAAGCAATTCTCCTGCCTCAGCTTCCCTAGTAGCTGGGGATTACAGGTGCCCGCCACCACACGCAACTAATTTTTGTATTTTAGTAGAGACAGGGTTTCACCATATTGGCCAGGCTGGTCTCGAACTCTTGACCTCAGGCAAATTACCTGCCTTAGCCTCCCAAAGTGCTGGGAATTCAGGCTTGAGCCACCGTGCCTGGCTTGAATTGCCTCCTTTAAAGTAAATATTCAACATTATGGAATATACAGCAAGGGCGAGCTTAAGAAAAATTGGGAAGAGGGTTCTAGAAACCCTAACACTGTCATCTTTAGTTTCAGCTCACTTTGGAATCTCTTCATCAGTGTCTAATATATGTAAGAGCCCTAGAAGCTCGTCTCTCCCTACACGGTGGTGTCAGTGTGTGTGTAACGTGAGGCTGCGTGGTAGAGGGAAGAGCACTGCCTTTGGCGCTGTGACAAGGCTGGGTCACATCCCAGTGTTGTGAACCACTCAGCCTTAGTTTTGTCCTCCGTAAGATGAATTCGTTAATACTAATCTCTGGTATGGCAGGCCCTCCCTGGGGTGAACTTTGATATTAAATATTGTGAGTAAACACAAGGGAAGCATAAAAATAGATCAACTTGCAGATAGCTGGGCTAAAACTCAGGACCCTTCTGACACCCAAGGGTGGTAGAAGTCCTGAAGCATGGACCTTCTGCTTTCTGGTTTTTGGCCTTCATCTTGAAGGTGCTGCTCACTACCCACCACAAAAGAACACCCTCTACAGGCCAGCACAGTGGCTCATGTCTGTAATCCCAGCACTTTGGAAGGCCAAGGCAGGTGGATTACTTGAGCCTAGGAGTTCAACACCAGCTTGGGCAACATGGTAAAACCCAATCTCTACAAAAAAATCCAGGTGTGGTGACACATGTCTATAGTCCCACACACTTAGTAGACTGAGGTGGGAATATCACCTGAACTTGGGAGTTTAAGGCTGCAGTGAGCCGAGATTGCACCACTGTGCTCTAGCCTTGGTGACAGAGTAAGACTCTGTCTCAAAAAAACCCAAAAACCTAGACAAATGTCTGGGTGCTATATCTATCCATTCAAAATCTTTGAAAGACCCAGGCATTCATATGGTTAGAAAGAAAAAGGAAAACTTCACAGGCTACGTGTACCTACAGCAGAGTCTCAGAGCCATTGTGGTAAAGGCCTGGAAAGTGGTTTCCAAACCAGGCTGATAGAATCATTATCCAGAGTAGTTTTTAAAAAATACAGTTTTCAACCTGTACCTCAACCTCATTGAATTAGCATTTCTGGAAGTAGCTTTTCCTGAACTAACAGTACAAGAATACCTTATCAATAAAATAATGATAGCTTTCATACTATAAAGTTATGTAGGAAGGGATAGAAGCAGAGGGTAAGCCTTACATTTTAAAAAGAAATCATATACCATTCCTTACCATTGAAAGAAGGTGAGGAGTTAACTCCTGAATACCTACTGAATATTTGAAAAGAAGTACAATGTTTTGGGGTTTTTGTTTTGTTTGTTTGAGACAGAGTCTATCCACTTAATTGTTACCCAGGCTGGAGTGCAGTGGTACGATCTTGGCTCACTGCAACCTCCACCTCCCAGGTTCTAGTGATTCTCCTGCCTCAGCCTCCCGAGTAGCTGGGATTACTGGCATGCGCCACCATGCCTGGCTACTTTTGTGTTTTTAGTAGAGATTGAGTTTCATCATTTTGGCCAGGCTGGTCTTGAACTCCTGACCTCAAGTGATCTGCCCGCCTCAGCCTCCCACAGTTCTGGGATTACAGGTACCCTGCTGAAAAAGGAGTATAATGGAGTTTAAGTTTCTAGACTGTAGAGCCAGATTTGCCTGGGTCTAATCCCAGCTCCTCCATGTATTAGCTGAGAACCACGAACAAATTGTCGATCTTCCTCTGTCCCTCACTGCTGTCATCTGTGAAGTGGTGACAGTAATAGGACCTACCTCAGGATTGTAGTGAGGTTTAAATAATCCAGTGGAGATAAAAGTGTGGAGAATAGTACCTGGCACACAGAAATGTTTGCTGTGTATGAATTGGCTATGATTATTACTTAATGTTATTGCTCTGTGCCAGGTACTTTTTGTTACATCTTTTATCCTAATAACATTGCTTTGAAATGAAAAATACCCTCAATCTATAGATGAGAAAAAATAGATAATGCTTAGTTTGAGCCCTGAATTATGAGACACCAAATCCATACCCTTTCCATTATATCCTAATTTCTTTCCAAAAGGTAATGTCTACAATTAAAATGATTTCTTTGTGGTTTTATTTCAGGAAACAATTTCCGATAATTGTGTGGTGATTTTCTCAAAAACATCCTGTTCTTACTGTACAATGGCAAAAAAGCTTTTCCATGACATGAATGTTAACTATAAAGTGGTGGAATTGGACCTGCTTGAATATGGAAACCAGTTTCAAGAGGCTCTTTACAAAATGACGGGTGAAAGAACTGTGAGTATGTCCCCTGTGGTGCTGATCCTCTTTAATAGGTTGTGAACTGGATCACCCGGAGCCTAGACCCTTGTGTTAGGAAAATGAGCCAGGCATTCTCTGACGATAGATTTTAAAGCAGCTGCGGATCTAGGAACCAGATTCCGAGAATAGGAAACGGCACAGTTGGTTAATTTTATTTTTATTCTGTATGTGTGTTTTGATTGGGGATGGCCAGTAGTGTTATTTCAGTGCTTGTCTATGGATCTTTGAGTTCCTCTTGGGGCTCTTTGCAAGATAAAAGTATTCTTCCTCCCTTTCCTTGGGCAGTACAAGGTTGGTCTTCAATTACTTTTCTCTAGGGGTGCTTTAGTGTTCCATGTTTTTAGACTCTTGAAATTTGCAGATTTTTCCATAATATGCATAATCAGAAAAATATAAAGTGTTGCCACTTTCATGTTTATTGGGGGAAGTTTATAGTGCACTCTTTTTTTTGTCTTGAGACAGAGTGTTGCTCTTGTTATCCAGGCTGGAGTGCAATGGCGCAATCTCGGCTCACCGCAACCTCCGCCTCCTGGGTTCAAGCAATTCTCCTGCCTCAGCCTCCTGAGTAGCTGGGATTACAGGCACGCGCCACCATGCCCAGCTAATTTTTTGTATTTTTAGTAGAGACGGGGTTTCACCACGTTGACCAGGATGGTCTCGATCTCTCGACCTCGTGATCCACCCGCCTCGGCCTCCCAAAGTGCTGGGATTACAGGCTTGAGCCACCGCGCCCAGCCTATAGTGCACTCTTTCCCTTCAGTAAACAAATAGGAGAAATAACTAAATATTATTTTATCTGCTTTAGTTTATCTCTTACATACCATAGTCATTAGGAAGGGTTTTAGAATCAGATTGTCTTGGATTTTAATTCCAGTCTCATTTACCATCATTGGGATTTTGCTCAGGTTCCTCTGCCTCATTTTCCTCCACAATAGGGATAGAAACAATAGCTACTTCAAAGGGTAAATATTTTAAGATTTTATTTGTGAAAGAACTTAGTGTAGTGCCTGGCTCCTAAAAGTACCCAGAGTTCAAATGTCTACTATGTGAAATGATCTGATGCTAGAGTGAAGCGTAACTCATCTTTTGTTTGTCCAACAGGTTCCAAGAATATTTGTCAATGGTACCTTTATTGGAGGTGCAGCTGACACTCTCAGGCTTCATAGAGAAGGAAAATTGCTCCCACTAGTTCATCAGTGTTATTTAAAAAAAAGTAAGAGGAAAGAATTTCAGTGATGTTGATACCAATAAGTTTGCCAATATTCAGTGTCAGTTATTTAAAGTGATAATGCCCAATAATGTCTTTTAAATGTTTGAGGATGTTTTAAGTATATGCATTGTCTTCCTGAAGAAAATGTAAAAATAATGAACAATAAATTGCAGTGGATACCTCATCTTCCCACTTGCCAATTCTTGAGAAAAAGGGGTGTTATTGAAACAATGAAAGGTTGGATAAGTAAATAATGCATTTTATTAGGAATTTAGGTATGAATTTTACAACCAAGAATTAGAAGGTAAGCTTTTGGAATTCTTTATTCCCCAATCAGGAATTAACTCTTTATCTTCGATAGCTTTTAATGGTCAGGACTAATGTATGATTTCTCTTTAAAACTTAAGGCTTTTGCTGATACATTTGTGAACTAGGCAGAGTAATAGAAGTATATTAAATTTTTACTGTGGAATGAAATTTATCTTTGAGAAACTACATTACTCATTTAATGACTTAATAGTTCCAGGAAACAAAACTATACCTATGGGCAGAAATTAAAAGGAGACTTCTGCATTGTATGAGGATGAATTTTTGAAACTGTATAGAAATGTGCTTGGGTTGGCAGGGCATGTTTGCTCATGCCTGTAATTCTAGCACTTAGGGAGGCTGAGGCACAAGGATCACCTGAGCCCAGGAGTTTGAGATCAACCCGGTCTACATGGCAAGACCCCCATATTTACAAAAAATCAACAAAAATTAGCCCGCGTAATGGCCAAGTACCTGGAGTCCTAGCTGCTCAGGAGGCTGAGGCAGGAGGATCTCTGGAGACCAGGAGTTTGAGGTTACAGTGAGTTAAAATCAAGCCACTGTACTCCAGCCTGGGTGACAGAGCAAGACCTTTTCTCTAAAAAAAAAATAAATAAAAAATAAACACACACACAGGCAAAACATATAAATTTTGGAAAGCAGAACTCTCCACTCAAGTACATTTCATAGTTTATAAATATACATAGATGAAATGTACTAGGATTAAATTCTGAGGTGGAGAGTTCTGCTTTCCAGAATTTATGTATATTTTAATATATATTTTAATATATATAAATTCTGGAAAGCAGAACTCTCCACCTCAGAATTTAACTCAGTGTCCAACAGCCTTTGAACTTTTTTTTTTTTTTTGAGACGGAGTTTCGCTCGTTACCCAGGCTGGAGTGCAATGGCGCCATCTCGGCTCACTGCAACCTCCGCCTCCCGGGTTCAGGCAATTCCCCTGCCTCAGCCTCCTGAGTAGCTGGGATTACAGGCACGCGTCACCATGCCCAGCTAATTTTTTGTATTTTTAGTAGAGACGGGGTTTCACCATGTTGACCAGGATGGTCTCGATCTCTTGACCTCGTGATCCACCCGCCTCTGCCTCCCAAAGTGCTGGGATTACAGGCTTGAGCCACCGCGCCCGGCTCAGCCTTTGAACTTTTAATGTGTTCAATACTGTTCAATATTGGGAGTACTATTCAAACTCATTTCAATTCAGCTAAACTTAGCAAACAAGATTTATCCTATAAAAAGTCTTATTTTACAATAATTGTAGACGTTCAGTACTTCACTAATGAAATCATCTTTCCAGCTTCTTATCAAGAATTTTTTAAGTGCCTACTATACAAAGCATTTTCTTAGTTGATCCCACTGGGGCAGATTACCAGATGCCGAGAAGAAAAAACCCTTCTTCAGATGTGGAAGAAAAATTGATTTTAGGAGTGCTTCTGGTTTCTGTCAGGATGGTCCAGAAAATCTGCAACAGTCCTGAAGTATACAGCTGGTGGCTTCCTTGGTCATTTGCCATCAATGATGCTTCTTACCTGGATTTATACTGCCATTAGGAGACCTCTTGATAAATAAGAATTTAGACAAGAATTCCATTCCCATGTGATAATTTAGGCTATAACACTAGAATGGAACAGAGGGGAATGTCTTTAGGTCTTTATTTTGCACTATGTCATGAGAAAGTTCTTGCTATGTTGTAAAATCTTTGTTAGATTCAGGCTTTTGGGGATTCTGAAAAAAAACTTGTTAGAGTTGAAGTCTATTACCTGAGAAAGGTAAAATTGTGTCATAATTGTTCATCATATTCGGTATTAAGGGTAGAGGGAGGTTACTTCAAAAAATAGAAACACTGACCAATGGCTCAACTGTGAAAAACAGCTTTACCTTTAGTTTTTCTTTTCTTTTCTTTTTTTTAAAGATACGCTCTTGCTCTGTTGGCCAGGCTGGAGTGCAAATGGTGTGATCTCAGCTTACTACAACCACCACTTCTGGGTACAAGCGATTCTTGTGCCTCAGCCTCCTGAGTAGCTAGGACTACAGGTGAAAACCACCACATCTGGCTAATTTTTTGTATTTTTAGTTTAGACAGGGTTTTGCCATGTTGGCCAGGCTAGTCTCAAACTCCTGAGCTCAGGCAATCTGCCTGCCTCGGCCCTGCAAAGTGCTAGGATTACAGGCATGAGCCACTGCACCTGGCCTGTGAAGAAACATTTTTTTATCAACTCTTCCTACACTGGTGGGACGGAGGGTGAGAGGCAAGTGGTGGTTGGTTCTTCATTATGCTCAGATCTTGAAAGAATTTAACATCAGGGAGAGAACCTTATCAAAAGCCTCAAAAACTCTAGTGAAGGTAATATGATATCTTATTTTCACTATGGTTTATTTAAAATAGAAGAAATAAACCCTTCTAAAACCTGCCTCTTAGTCTTCTGAACTTACACTCATTGACTAATAAAAGATTTTTACCTTAGGGAGTTTAGCACTGCATCAGAAAGGAAGCAGATCTTGAAGGGATGAAAGAAAATATAAGAAATCTGACCTCTTTTTGCCATATGGCACATTAAGTATCTTAAAAAAAAAAAACCCAACAACCCAAACAACAAAAAACTTGCCACTCTAAAACGTTTAAAATACACAATAACAAACTTTTAAAAATGCTCAAGGCTAAGCAGGTTTAAAAAAAGTATAGGCACACTCCAAAGGGAAAACAAAACCAGGAGCAGAATCCAAGCGTGTAGGGAAGCAAGAAGTTCCCTTCCTGCCAGTGCCAAATGTGGAACCCCAATAGCTTTAGTTACAACTGTATGCACGGGGTTGGTTACAAAACTGAAGGTTAAGGAAGAAGGAGTTAGACAGGAGACCACAGCGTAACACCACTAAAGCTTCAGTTAAAAAAAAATTCATGGCCGGGCGCGGTGGCTCAAGCCTGTAATCCCAGCACTTTGGGAGGCCGAGGCGGGTGGATCACAAGGTCAAGAGATCGAGACCATCTTGGTCAACATGGTGAAACCCCGTCTCTACTAAAAATACAAAAAAAATAGCTGGGCATGGTGGCGCGTGCCTGTAATCCCAGCTACTCAGGAGGCTGAGGCAGGAGAATTGCCTGAACCCAGGAGGCGGAGGTTGTGGTGAGCCGAGATCGCGCCATTGCACTCCAGCCTGGGTAACAGGAGCGAAACTCCGTCTCAAAAAAAAAAAAAAAAAAAAAAAAAATTCATGATATATTTTCAGAGCATAGCTGATGATTTGTCAAGACAAGCATTCAAATTACTAAAGGTGTAACCATTTGGTAGGTGACTTAACCTCTCAGAATGTAGGTAATAGCATCTTCCTTTAGGATTGATTTTTTGAGGAATGGAGATAATATATGTAAATCATTTAGAGTGGGTTTTAGTAAACAATACATAATGGCTATTATTAATCACAATGGTTCAGCTACATGTGGGTTTTCTTGTGGATCCATCAGGGTTTTCCAAGATTCCTAGTTGTACCCAGCCAAGAATTCAGGAGGCAGGTGAAGCCTCTGGGGCTTCATGTTGTCCTGGATATTGACTTCCATTTCTTCTCCCCTTTCCAGACCTTACAGCTGGATAAAAGTTAAATAGTGACTAAAAAAAAACTTGCAATTTTTTTCCTCGGTCCTGATTTTTACTTTTTTTTTTGTATCTTTTTGAGATAGGGTCTCCCTCTGTATCCCAGGATGGAGTACAGTGGCTCTATCATGGCTCACTGCAGCCTTAAACTCCTGGTCTGAAGGGGTTAGCCTTCTGAATGGCTAGGCACATGCCACTGTGCTCGACTAATTCATTCTAGTTTTTTGTAAATACGGGGCTCTTGCCATGTTGCTCAGCAAGACCCCGAACTCCTGGGCTCAAGCAGTCCTCCCGCTTTAGCCTCCTAAAGTGTGAATAATTGCAAGGGTAAGCCACAATGCCCAGCCCTTTGTTTTATGTTAAGATCTAAGATCTGAAAGATGAACTGTTTACTGGAGTCCATTAATATAAAAAACTGGGCCATTTGTTTTTTCACTTTATCACTAATTTAATTGCCAAAATATCTGTCATTAAAGATGTTTAAAAAAGGGATCTTCTGTACCTGGGTTTTACTGTTTACTAATAAAAAAATTATCAGTTGAACATCTTTTAACATCAGGTTTTATTGGTAAGATTTAATACTGTTAAAATGTATTAAAGCTAACATAAAGAAATGCAATTTGTGATCAATCCTTCTCATACAACTGTTGATTCCACCTTTAAATAGGGTACTGTAAAAATCAACCAAATGTCTTGAAGTTTTGGTGGATATATTCTGATATAACTTGCTGTCAGTCACCTACGGTTCAGATCTTAGAACTTTTCAGAAAATTTTTATGGGAATTGAGAGAAAAATTTCTGCAAATTGGCACTGAAACAATGTTTTTATTTGCATAGCTGACTTTTTGTGTTTGCATGATGATTTTATCAAAGGCAACTTTGAGTAGACTGTTTCACAAAAGAATCCTATTTTAAAACAATAATTTGTGTTTTGATTCAATCTAATCATTTTGTTATAACTTCATATACTTTAATTAAATAGTACTTACATAAAATTAGATACATTAAAAGGTCGATGTTAGTTATCAAAACTTAAATTTTATCTTGTTCAAATAAAAAAATTACTAAAGGCCTTAGATTTTATAAGGCATATTATAACCTTAAAATTTATATTTCTTGAAAGAAATAGAAAGACACTTAGTTAATGTGCATAGAGTTTATTTGGTACATCTATCAATTTTTACAGTAACTGACCAGCGACAGTTCACACAGTGTCCACCTGCACTCCATGTCTAAAATGATTGATTTAGTAGGGTATTTTGCAAGACTAGAA